GAGGGAGGGAGGAAGGGAAAGCACCAGGACAAAAACCTGATGTGTACGACTTCAAAGTTCACTCTCTTTCTATTGGATAATACCACAGAGCTCAGTGAATTGCCTATGGGCAGTTTTAGATAGAATTGACCTTGGAGTGACTTTCAATTAGAAGCTGCCTGGCAACACAAGCCCTAGTGTTTGGAATAAACAGTTACCCAGTTTGCTTTCTTCTTTTCTGTATACGTACTCGATGTATCCCAGGTGAGCATCTGCCCAGTAGAGTCGATCATTGGTGTAATCAATGGTGATGCCATTGGGCCACTCTATCTTGGTAGAGATAATCACAGATTTATTGATTCCATCCATGCCTACTCTCCCAATGTATGCTCTGTGGGTCCAGTCTGCCCAGTAGACATACCTGCGGGAACAAATTCAACGGGTCAGTTCTAAAGCCAGAAGTCAGTAGCCAAAAGACCTGGCTCTTCTTCATTCAGATAAATAAAGTTTACACTCTAAAGAGTGTCTCAGAAAGGAAAGAGAACTGATAGAAAATAATCTAAAGAGGGGTGAGATACAGAGAATGCTCAAGAATGAACATAATTAACTGGGGATTTCAGTGGACTTGGCAGGGAAAGTCCACTAAAGGTGGGTTATTTTTTTTCTCATAATTTTTTTTGCATGCAGCCAAAATATGTGACTTGAAAAGTGAAATGAGTCATGGCAAAGAAAACAAAACAGCTCATGAATATAATTTGAATAAGCCATGCTACTAAACCATTTACCAGGTAGAAAAAGCAGAAGACAAATTCCAGCAAGATATTGGCCTTGAGATAACAGAGGAAGAATAAGGGCATAAAAGAAGAGCCCAAGATTACAGGGAGACAATACCCATATTGAGGGTGAAGGACAATTCCTCTGGGATTATCAAAGCAGAAGGTGTTGTTGGCATCCAAACAGTGCTCGACCAGCCTGCGGCGGTATCGACCATCAAGGTCAGAGACAGAGAGGCACTTCAGGTGAGCATCCACCCAATAAAGCTTTCTGAAATGGAGAGCCAGGAGTTACCCATACAGACATCTGTTTGTGAAACAGTGCAATTAACCACCCAACTTCCTATCTAAGCTACCTTGGAATCACATATACAACTGTTGGAAGGCACTTTTTCCAAGGCAAACAAGGGCAAGGGGGAAAAGTTGACCTTCCTACAATGGGGCAATGAAAGATGAAATGTGTGCTACAATATCCACTTGAAGATGATGTCACATAGGGAATTCTGGGGCCACACCTCACATGAGGATTCTGGCTTTACTTTCTTTACATTTAGTTCTGTTCCTGCAAATCATTAATTGCTATGCTTTTTAATACTTCGTAGGGCCATAAAATACTCATATTCACCTAGTCAACATTTTATTCAGTATCCAGCTGGCTCTTATTGACCACCTATGGCAGACCAGCTACTACTCAGGTAGAACTAGGGTACAAACTCCTTACCCCCCACTTTAGGATTTTACTCTTAAGATGGTCAAATAGAGAAGAGTTGGAAGAGTTCTCTGTAGGTCTTGGCTAAATATAGCAATAATATTAGCAGTGTACAGGCCTGCTCGTGTCTGTTAACCACAAAGCCAACTACTTTACTCTGTCAAGTATCTAACAGATTCAATATTCAACAGAGGTGTTAAGAGGTGTTAAGGTGTGGTTGAGTTGATAAAGTTTAATTAAAATATCCCTTGCTTACCTTAAAGACCCCCAGTTTCTAGAAGGACTATCTTCGACAGAGGTGTTAAGAGAAGTGTGGTTGAGTTGATAAAGTTTAATTAAAATACCCCTTGCTTACCTTAAAGACCCCCAGTTTCTAGAAGGACTATCTTAAAACAAAAGTTTCAAGTTAACCTTTGTCTATTTCATAGCCAGCCCAGGCTGGGAATGACTGGTGTTGTCAGCCAGTCTGTGAACTCGGGGAAGCAGGGGCTGCTCTAGACCTGCAGTGCCTGTCTTAGCACCTGATGTGAAGCAGTTTCAAGTGACTGAAATTATCAGCGAATGCATGAGCCATCCTTAACATCATCTCCAGTTAACTGAATGGCGGGGAATGAAACAGCTCTTTTATCCTTTGTGATGCCCCACCTCCCAAATGATAGCATTAATTCTTAAAATCACTAGACTTTAGGTTCTGTGGTATCCCCACTTGAATACTAGGTACACAACAGAAAAAAACAAACAAACGTGCAGAAGCATTAAATGTATCCATATATTAACCAAGTTGAAAAAGATCAATTCCCTGCTAAAATGAAAACACGTGTAGAATTTTTTTTTTTTTTCTTCAATATTAAAAAGCTCCTCAGTGTGTTCTTACCTGGCAACCCAGTCTACAGCCAGGCTTTCTGCAGCTGGTAGTTTGTGCTTCATGATTGTCTCCCTGTTTGTCTTATTTAGAAACATTCTCTCGATGACTTTTTTCTCTATATCAATCCAGTATAATCTCTTTTCTACTCGGTCAAAATCCAGTGCCACAGCATTTCCCAGTCCTTGCAAAATGAGGGAGTAAAAGGAGCCATCTATAGTTAGGTTTCTCAAATAGTAACGGTTGCTAAAAATGAGATAGGGCTCGATGTTACTGTTCTGCCGGCAGCTCCTTCCATCTGGTTCTCGGATGTAGCCTGGGGCACACTTACAGATGTAAGAGCCCACTATGTTCTCACACTTCTGGCTACAGACAAAGGGTGTCTCCTGGCATTCGTCAATATCACTACAAGTCCGCTTGTCCGACATAAGCTTGTAACCAGGACGGCAAGAACAATAGAAACTGGTTAACGTGTCTGTGCAGTTCTGGTCGCAGCCACTGAGTGAAGGGTCATTGCACTCGTTAATGCCTGGAGGTAAAAGAAAGTTATCAGAAAACCTAAAATGTCAACAATGGACCCACCATAATGGCCCAAAGTCAACATTTTCACTGTAAAGCACCAATTCTTATATATATGTATGTATGTATATGTATATATTTGTTAAGTTTATTATTTTTTAAAATTTATCTTTATTGTTGAAAGTATTACAGATGTTCCCTTTTGCCCCCTATTGACTTCCTACACCCTGCTCTCGCCCCCTACCCCAGGCCTTCCCCGGGGCTTCCCTGAACCATTGTCTGTCCTTTGGCTATGCATATATGCATAGAAATTCATTGGTTAATCTCTTCCACCCCCCTAACCCCTTCCCTCTGAAATATGTCAGTCTGTTGCGTGCATGGAGGGGCCTGGAGGGTATTATCCTAAGCTAAATAAGCCAGTCAGAGAAAGACAAGTATCATATGATCTCACTTATATGAAATCTAATGAACAAAATTAAACTGAGGAACAAAAAGATTAAGCACCAATTCTTAATGAATCATGCTAAAAATAGACAGACAATAAGGGATTTCTCAAGGCCATAGATTATTCAAAAGTCACTGATTTTTTTTCAACTTCCTCCCCAACTTAATCACTTCACCAATGGTTTTAATGATTAATACAAATAACAAGCTTAAGTTTGACTTTGAATCCTACACCAGCCAAACTTCTTTTAACCAATAATTTTAAAAGTAAAATGGCAGGAGAAAGACAAACAGAAGAAAAGAACCGGGCCAGTGGTGTGCTGGTAAAACAGGCCTCTGGATGTACCCTTGGCTGGTCCTGTGACACATGGCCTAGCTCATGCAAAAACTACCTACACAGGGAGGAGAGGATGTTCTTATTAATCCTATGCTTTATAAGTTCTACAGTGGTTCCTTTGTGGGGGTTGGAGGAAGGGGAAGGTTAAAACTCTCCCCTTCAGTCACCTGAGGAAGAAGATGAAGAACCAGCTAAGAAATCCCAGAGGAAGGGCAGTTCAGGCAACAAGTCATTCCAAGGGTTCAAAGAGAAAAATCACTGTCATTAACCTTGTTTACCAATGCTGTTAGGTACTGACGGTCTGACTCTGCTCGTCCTCTGTTTTCTGTAATGAACTGTCTAACTGGTGATGAGTAAGTCCAGAAACATTTATACACTAACCTTATATACCAACTAATTCTTGCCTTTGATAGACAAAAATAGTAATTTTCTGGTAATTTTCTACTTAGAAGACAGACTGGAAAGTCCTGTCCATAAACGGGTGAGAATCTATATTCAGTCTCTCCATTTTCCTTTTCCCAAATCTTCTGTTATACTCACCACATCCTTTCTCATCACTGTTGTCTAAACAGTCGTCTAGGTGGTTGCAGACTTTCACCATTTCGATGCAGTTCCCATTATCACACTTGAACTGATGAGGGGGGCACGTGGTTTCGGGGACATGGCACAAGTGCTCCAGCTCATCGGAATCATCTCCACAGTCATTATCCCCATCACAGATGTAGGCTTTATAAATGCAGAAGCCATTCTGACAGGTAAACTGATTCTGATCACAGGTAGGGTATGAGCAGTCCCTCTCATCACTGTAGTCACCACAGTCATTGTGCCGATCACACCTGTGTTAGGAGACCCAGTACAACTCTTGGAGAAGTTGACAAGTTTCAATTATCTCCTCTACCTGAATGCCAGGTTGACCATTTCAATAACAAGATCACCAATGTCATTAGCTGCCCTCCTCCAGAATCTTCATCCACCCACCAATCTCCAGCAATAGAGGAATAGAATATTTAGCATTCCACACAACTTCCCCAGGTGCTGGTTGCTACCATTGGAAATGTGTGTCTAGAGCTATTTAAAACAATTGCATTCATTTCCCCCCAGTTTTATAAATTAATTAAACACAACTTTTATAATTTTGGTGTTCAAAAAGATCCATTCATCAGATAATGAGACAGCTGATGGGCACAGCAAACATCCTGGGTAGCCACATGCTAGAAGTGCCCATACTCAAGTAGGTACTCATAGGATGAGTGCTATATATTATAAATAATCAGATTATTAGATGTGTCCTCTAAGGACATATATCTCCCAATTGAAGTAATGTTTGCATAGGCAGTCCTGTTACTTCTGTCTTTCATTGTAATACTTTTGCCACCTACCATGAAATGTGAGTGGTAATGACGATGGGAAGGAGGAAAAACTAGTAGGTTAGCATGGACTACTGTCAAAAGAAAAAGGCATTTCATAGTTCTGGAAGCTAGTTTGGGACCTAAAATTCCTAGGCATCATATGGACAATGTAGTTTCCTGCAACTCTATGAGCCAGATTATTCTTCCTGCTCTACATTATTCCAAAATCCCTTGAAAGTCAAAATTACTGAAGGGAGCCCTGCTAACAGTAACAAAACTCATCTTGAGTTGGAGGCAGAGCATTAAAAGACATTAAGGTATCAAAGATGAATGTGGTTGCCCAGCTGGTGTGGCTCAGGGGTTGATTATTGACCTATGGTTCAGGAGAACGCTGTTCAATTCCCAGTCAGGGCACATTCCCAGGTGTGGGTTCAATCCCCAGTGGGGGGGGGAGTACAGGAGGCAGCCAATCAATGACTCTCTCTCATCATTGATGTTTCTGTCTCTCTCTCTCCCTCCCTCTTCCTCTCTCTGAAATTAATAGTTATTTTTATTTTTTAGAAAGCTGAATGTGGCCAATATTAAAACTTATCTATGGTCAGGTCTTCTTACTAGCACTCCCATCCACAAACCTAGGGCACTGCCAATGTGATTTATACCTAATTGTGTGCTTGTAACTGTAAAGAAGGCTTCAATCAATGCAAGCTAGCCCAGACCCATTTGGTTTCCTGGGAGCTATTTAACTCATTTCCAAATGATTTAAGTTACCAATGCTTTCTTTCTTCTTGTTTAGATGCAACTCAAGAGGGAAAAATAAGTCACTTAGGCAAGCAAATCACCAGGTTTTTAGACACAATTGCATGTCAGTATTCCAGTGAGCTGCTCACAACTCAGTCTTATCCAGGTTCTTCAGCAGCATCAGTAATGAGCCAAGAGAAAAAAAAAGTCTATAGGAAATATGACCACTGTACCAAATGAGGAGGTACACATTCTGCCAAGCAAGCAAGAAGGTGCACATTCACAACATGCTTAGTGGAGGCTACTGGCGCTCCGGCAAACAGAATGTGGAGCTATTTTAGACCCTATAGCTCAGGTTTCCAGACAAACAGTACTTTTACTCTTCTGCCATAGCCCTTGTCAAAAGCACTTCAGAAAGCTGGGGCGGGCAGCAATAAAAGAGGGAAGGAGAGAGGAAGAAGAAAGAAAAGATGAATGAAATCATCTTCTAGGTCAGGTAAGTCAGTGGCTAGACCATAGTAATTATGAAGGCAGAGCCCAGAAAGCCCAGAAAGGGAGTGAAATAACCTCGACCAAAGTTAAGACCTCATGTAACTCTATTCCCTAGATCCGACACCTAGGTTTTCAGAATATATCCAAGCCTGATGGTATAAAATATCTACTGGCTTCAGAAGAACCAGGTATCAGTACAACACAACTCTTGAGCAAGTAGGGAGAAAATATAAAGATTTATTCACTTCCTTGTACAAAGACTAAAAATCTACAGATCACGCCCATATCAGTTAAATATAAAGAAAGCAGATTTAAATGCAAGTTCACTAAAAAAAAGGAGACAGCTCTGTCTCCTGAATGTCGTCAGGTTGTCAGTACTAAACAGCCACCTCTCAGCAATGTCCCTGTGGGGTTTCATTGGGGGGTGAGGCATCCCACAAGAGTTCTTTTCTAGACAACTTTTACCTACCTCTTTAATCACTACTATTTTTTAGTCATAATGTCAAGTCCCTGCTCCTTCCACATCCTTCATACAAGATAACCTTCTCCGGCTTCCTCGGCACCACCATCGTGAGCACACAGTTCTGCACCCTGCTGCACTCCAGCAGTACCTCAGGGTCTGCTGAGGGGCTGCCTGCCCCTAAACAAATGGCCCCAGAAGCTCTGCTGCTCTGACCTTGTACCAGCTTCATAAATCTTTTCCATCTCCTTTCCTAGCAGACTGTAAACTGACAGTTCTTGTTTACCCATTATGCATGTATGTCCTTGGCACATGCTATATCTCCTTAGCTCCAGTTCCATGTGTCTGAATGCCTAATCCATATTTTCAGCTCAGGAACTCCTACTACACCAAACTCACCTTCCACCTTGAGCAAGGTCCCTTCTGGGCTCCCCTACTTTTTTTAATGTTCTTACTATTCTCCTAGTATATCAGGATTGAAAACTAAGCATCACTTTTTTTCTGTTTCCCTCTCTATCTAAAAAGTTGCTAAGTGAGGATAGTGAGAAACTGAGACACTAAAAAAAATAGAAACTTTTAGAATGGCCCATTCTGGAGAAAATGAGAAATCAAACACCAAAATATTACAGGAGAGGTCCCCAAAACTGGCAGGCTTTGAGCTGAATCTGTTTGACTGACTCAGTGTTAGAAGTTCAAATTTTTTTTCCAGCATTGAAAAATCTGAATATTTCATATGAAAATCCAGATTTCAAACTTCTCTAGAAAAAAAAGACCATAGAAGGTCTGGCTCTCCTGCCGCTCCTGCACGATGCTGAATGCGGAGCAATGCTGAGTGCGGAGCATGAGCTCCAGTTTACCTCACCTGTCTCTTCCTGCTGTCTCACTGACTCTGAGCCTAAGTGCCAAGCTCCATTTATCATCCTGCTTGCAATTGTTATTTTTCTCATAGCAGAGAAGAAAGTGAAGCATTTCTTATCCCCATGCCTCTATTTCAAATGGAAAACCAAGAGGGTCACCTGCTTTGAGAAAAAAATATTCTTATATCAAGCCCATTTATTCATCTCCCTGACCCCTTGTAGCACTTTCACCTTCATGAGCCCCTTCCTTTATAAAAATATTTAAAGTTATATTTAATAACAACACTGGTATAAAGGCAGCTCTGTATATTAATATTACATATTAAAATAGCTGCTTTGACTTAAATTTTCTCTTTTTTCCCTTTTGATCTTAAAAGAAATCTAAACATTTTCATAGAACACTAAAAGTACCATGGGCCATAGGCACTGATGCCACCATGCTTAATGGATAAATCAGCTCTACCCCATGGATATTTGAGGTTTACTGGGAAATTTTTTAATCCTCAATTCACCTGTAGGAGTCTGGGACACACCGTCCATCACTACAGGTGAAATCGTTTCCAGAGCAAGATCCCCGGGTGCAGTTCTGTCGCTCATCGAAGCCATCAGTACAGTCTTCATCGCCATCACAGACCCAAGACTGGGGAATGCACCTACTGGATGGAGGCACATTGTTTACACAGAGAAACTGAGAAGCTGAGCATTTGTGACTCTCTGAAACAAAACACACATGGGTGGGAAACCACATGAGAGCTCATTCTAGCAGTCGAATCCTTTTCGAGCCATTATTTCTCTTGCTTTATGTTACTTAACAGCCTAAGGGATAAAAGAAAATGAGGAGAAAACAGGCAAACAAATCACATTGCTATGATAATAATATATCATAATAAAAATACCTCCAAAATTCCATTTTAATTGCTTTGGACCTTGGATTTTTTTTTCCCCCCAGAAGAAATAAACATAATAAAAACCTCACTTGGTTTTCTATAAAATTAAAATCATATTTTTCCCTTAGGGCTTCAGAAAAATACTCCCATTTTGATAACTGAATACCAAAATTATGCCTTACATTTGATAACATTTTCTAGTTTACAAAGTGTAATCACGCAAACACAATGTGAGATAGGCATTCTTATGTGAATTCTACAGGTGAGAAAATTGAAGCTCAAAATGGTTAACTAGATGGCTCAAAGCCACAGAACTTTCTAAAGAGCTAGGGCTTCAAACCTAGATCTTTTTTCTCCAAATTTAGTGCTTTTTAAACTACATTACAGCTACCACTCCAAGTAGAATTAGAGTATAAAGGAGGAACATATATCAAGAGTTCTCAGGAACCATGACACTGTTGGGAAAGAGCAGAGATGTAATTACATAATCATCAATGCCCTGGTATAAAAGAACAGGTAGTTTACTTAATCTCATTGTGGGTGAGCAGGAGACAAAAGGAAGGGTGTCATGGTGAAGGGAGCTGGAGAAAGTACATGCTGTAGTCCATGCCTGTGCAGCTGCCAGCCAGACATTTCAGCGCACGGAGTGTCTGTGGAGCTGTGGATGACCGATGTCACTGCCATATGAGGCTATGATCAAATGCAAACATCAGGGAGCCACTGTTTTTATTGTTCTCCATAGAAAGACATTTTTCTGAGACCCTTTATCAAAGAGTTAGAAACGCTCTGTTGGTAATGGCAAATGGTGTTCCCTAGTCTGTTCAAAAACCCTTCTCCAAAGAACAGCTCTAAGGCAGCAATTTTCAACCAGTGTGCCACCAGAATTTTAAAACACGCAATACCTGACTATTTAGTCAGGGGCACTGACCTCTTTTCCCTTAGACTGTCAAATAAAAAAAATGACAGCAGCCAACACAACAATAGCTGTCCTGTGTGAATGAATCAAAGTTATACCTATTTTGTTTGTCAGATCAGCAAAAAAATACAATATATTTCTTGGTGCGCCACAGAATTTTAGTAATTATTTTATGTGTACCATGAGATGAAAAAGGTTGAAAATCACTGCTCTGAGGTAATAAATAAAACTGGAGGTATAATTAACCGCTACACTGTTAAAGCTGCTATTAATTTTAAGTGCGGCCAACTGAGTTCTCTTTATCTGCTCTAGAAATGTAGAAGATTATTTCCCTCAGCTAAATGGAAGAGAAAGAAAATAAAATTTTAAATCATTTTTCATAGTTTAAAAGCATTTAAGTACATGATATCAAACATTTCCAGAGTGGAAAAATAAAGATAACTTTCTACCAGTGTGTATTCAGTTAAAGAGGAATCGGCCTGACAATCAGACTCTCCAAACACATAAAAATCAATCTAGTGAGTTTCCCTGGAATGTGACTTTGCAGAAGAATTCACTGTGTCACTTACCACAGTGGTGTCTTTCATCTTCATCGCTCATGTCCCCACAGTCATTATCATTATCACAGATCCATTCTGCTTCGATGCACCTCCCATTGTCACACTTGAACTCATCACTCAAACATGTTGACTCATGGTACCCTGAAAACAAAAATAAAAAGCACCTTGATGAAAAGAATGGATTTGCAGTCTAGAAATCACAAGGGAAGCCTGCTATTGCATGGGTTGTCTAGAACACTGATTCAAATTCTTTAATCATATCCCCACATGTACCTTCTCAACTAGCCAAGTTATTATAGACGTGAAAACCTGGCACCCTACAAAATTAGCCTGTGGCAAAAGAAATTTTAATTTTATCTATTAAAAATACAGCACAAGGATAACAGCAGGAAGAAACAGGACCTTTTATAAGCTGGTAAAAAGGAGTGTAGATAGATACAGTCTTTTGAAGAGACATCCCCTTTGACACAGCAAGACCATTTCTAGAAATCTAGCCCACAAGTATCTTCCCACATTCGCACAAAGAGTTTTCTAGAAGGATGTTGAAGGGGTTCAGAAGAGGCCTCTCTAAGATGTACTTCTTTGGCATGTGGGTTATTTTGAGCTGAAGACAATCGAGACCCTACAGGCTCAAGAGAAACTTTTACCTCTCCCTTAAACAATTTAAATTGGGGGACTTGCCCATAATAAGAATTATCATCAGAAATAACATTTTATGACCTACCTATAGGGCAGGGCAACCTTCTAATTCCTGCACACCTGCTCTTTTATCAACCTGTGAATGACCTCCCTCCCTCTGAAGCCCCAAGAAGCCTTACCTTTCATCATCATGTATGGCTCAGAATGCCATATCCCTCATCTTAACTTTCTGTCTCTGAACCTCTCATATTTGTGGGGTATCTGACTCACCCATGTATATGGGGTTTCCATATGTACATGTAATTAAGTCTGGTTATTTTCTGTTAATAATCTGTGTCATGTAAATTTGATTATTAGACCACCCAAAAGAACCTGTAAGAGTAGAGAAAATTTCTTTCTCTCCCACAATATTCATTCCAGCATTATTTTTCAAAGTGAAACAAATGAAAGTAAAGAAAGGTGAAAAAAATGGAACTTTTACTTTTTTTATACATCTTATTATTTCTTTAAAATGATACTGCTGCATATTTTTAAAATGTATTCATACATAAATTTTGTGTTTATTTTCACTTAAATATGTCAGGCAGTTGGTACAAATTGCTATTACTATGACTTTGGTTCTCATAAATATGGAAACTATTTATTCTTCATATATTTTAACTACTAGTTTATATATTTAAACCAATCTCTAAAAAAAATGAAAATAAACCAATCTCTAATACTATTCTACTCATATTATTTCATTTATGGATCCTCAAAATACTATGTGCCCTTTGTTTTCTACAGAACTTTCAGGGTTGGGGGAAAGAAATTTGGCAAAGGGCTTCAAATAATCACTCTCCAACTATTAGGCACAGAATTTAAACCTGAGAGAAAATAGGAATAGGAAACCCTCTGAATTCTGCTGTAAAACTATGTGAATGGGCCTAAGAAAACATGCACAAAATAAAAAGTTTTATATATGATGTCATTTACTGCAGTGATATTTATAATAGAGGAAAAATATAAGCAATCTAAATGCTTAAAATAGAGGCAATGAACTCAGTGATAATCAGTGGAATATTATAGGGCCATTAAAAAAGAGTATAAAGACAATATAACAAGGGTCAGCAAACTTCCTCTTAAGCAGCTAGTAAATATTTAATTTAGGTTTACAGGCCATATGTTCTGTGTCTCACCCACTTGACTGCCATCATATACGAAAGCAGCCACAGAAAATATGGGACCACATTCTAATAAAACTTCCTTTATAAAGACAGGAAGTTGGCCTATGGCTATAGTTTGCTGACTGCTCTATAGCAATATGATTTGACAGATAAAAAAATCACAATCAATGTAAAATATTGTACCTTTATATTTTTACAATTATGTAAAATAATTTGCATGAAGATAGGTTAGAATTTGCAAAGGTAAATAGCAGCCTCCAAATGTAAACAAGCACAAGCACTTCTAGGAATACCAAAGGGTCCCTGGCACTTCTCACATGGCCATGAGACCTTTCCATAATCGGGGACACAGGCAGAAGAGGAGGAGGACATGTGCCTCTAATATGTCCCTTGCCCATGTATGTGATGATTCCAATCACTTTTGTATCCCCCCCCCCAGTCACATGGGTCAGAACTCAGCCAAACTCAGAAATTCCAATTCACGGTCAATTAAAATTAATTAAGTTCTACAAGCCAGGCCCCATACTAGGGGCATCACCAACATAACCTCATTTCATCAGCACCAATCAGCAATTTCCACATCCTGATCATCAGCCTGCACCGTGCCCTGCACTAACACATTTTTAATGAATGCCTGCTGAGTGGTTTCAGGATCTCAGCTGAGCACAGGAGCAGGGAGTGCAAACGTTCAACAGCCATGACCATCGTCTGTGTTGGAAGCAGTTGGAAGCATTCCTCTTACTGCATCATACTGCTTTTCGTGCTTGCCTACTCTCTTACCACAAGTGGCAGGTTCATCAGAGCCATCAGGACAATCTCTTTCTTGATCACAATACCAACGGCTAGGAATACAGCGTCCAGATGTGCAGTGGAACTCATTGTTGCTGCATGTGTGAACGGCTGTGGGAAGGGAAAGAAGATAAAGCCCATGAGCAAAACACCAGCTCGTTCTCATCAGTCTTCACAATCTGCCCATATCTCTAAACTGAATAAACAGTTGCCAAGAAAGGAAGACTGAGGCCTGGGAAATGGGATTTTGTGTATGTGCTTTCCATGGGAAGGGAAGAATATGGTGAGGGGGGAGAAGGCAAACAATACTGCTCCAATTTTCTGGAATATTTTTTCCTGCATTCTATAAATCCCAAAACAAACTGCATTTGTTAGAACTACCAAAGTACTATCCTTTTGATACATGAAATCACAAATTGTGTAAAAAGAAGACTTGCTTCTAAGTTTTCTGCTGTAACATAAACTTAAATAAATTATATTGAAATAATAATTAAAAGCAAAAATAGCAATATGACCATATCTGTGCTCACCCCACATACAACCTTTAGCCACATCAGACCATAATTTTAGAGAGTTAGCAAAGTTCTGCTCTTAGTCATCCTTGTTACATGAGGCCTTTTGTGAGTAAAAGAACTCTGCCTATGTTTGAATATTGGTTCTTTTCTCTAGTAACCTTAAGTAGCTCTGGTCAAATGTATTTTGTTATGTGGGTACAAACCAGAATCAAGTCTTACTCTTCCGGTCGCTTTGGCCCATGATGTCTAATAATTTGCCAGGACCAAAAAAAAAAAAAAAACACTGATAAGGAAGCAGAGGTCCCCAAAAGATCGGCAGTAGCTCTGATCCATGTGTCCTCATCTGATGGCTGCAGCCTGAATTCTGCTTCTTCTTGCTGCTGTTACTACAACTGATTCCTGCTCTTGAACTATATATAGTCTGGCCTGGTGACAATTACTGAACTCTTAAATGATGTATCTATTTACACTAATAGTCTCAAAGTTATCAAGCTTAAGAAAGGCCTTTTAATTTTAGCTACAAATACAAGAAATTGTTTATTTGAACCAAATTGCTAAATATGAAATAAGGATTTCTGAAATTTAAACATATTTAAATTAGAAAAATTATCTCAGTTACTAACAATTACTATAAGGGCTTAACATGCAAATTCTGCCTGAAGTTCCTGAAGACAAAAGGCCTTCAACTCAGAGAAATGGCTCTGCAATGTGGAAGGTTACGTATCAGAGCAGGTCTATGCAGGAAATATTTGGAGTCCAGCCTCCAGCCAGGGAACAGAAAGAAGGGGCTTCCTATGCCCCTCCAATCACATCCTAAAGTAACTGCCCTCTGCATTTATTTACAATGTCATTTAGAGATGACAAATTAAATTGGGCCCAAACACCCAAGCCATATAGCTTTGTATTAGCTGAATGCACCCCTGGAACCACAGAAAGATAAGCAGGCTTATATTACCGCAAAAAGTGGGGCTTTCGTCACTCATATCTCCACAGTCATTGTCTCCATCACACAGGTAAGTACGAGGAATACAAATATTTGTACTGTGACACTTTGTGAATCCAGACTGGCAAGTGTGATCAGCTTAAAAAAAGACAACCAGATATACATTTGGAACATATCCACCACACATATACCATAAAGAATGCCCATGTTAATGGGCCTACTGCAGAATTCAAACCATCAGAAGAGAGGCATTTTCAAAGCTATTCCAGAAGCATGATCCATGACGCTTATGTTATACAGCAGATTCTAGCGTAAAAAGAGATATTACCAGCTGATACTGCAGGGAGGTGAAAGGAGGCCTCCTTTGTAGTTTAAATCATTTTCATTATTTAATAGCATCAACAAGAGCCCCGCTTCTTAGTTAAATAAAGGATGGCATATAGAGTAATATGTAGCTATAAAAAGGAATAAATAAGATCTCTATTCTGATAAGGATGGTGGTTTGATCTCCAAGATATAGTTAACAGTAAGAAAGCACAATTTAAAACAGTAGACTATCATTTGTGTAAGAAAAACAATGATATGAGTGTGTGTTTGTGTGTGTGTGTGTAGAAAGAGAGACAGGTAAGCTTATATTCAAAACAACAATAAAAAATAAACTAATGAAAACTGTCACCCCTGTGATAGATGGAGAATAGTATGGAGGGAGCAGGATAGAGAGGCCAAGGATGTAAAGCTTCTGTTAATGTACCTTGTCATAAAACTTTGACTTTGAAATCATGTACATTGTTCTGAATAAATAAATAAAAAAAAATAAAAATGGAAAAAGGAAACCAATTGCTAAAGTTTGGAAATAATAACAAAATTAATAGTAAATCAAGCTGATAGCATAACAAAGAGAGAGAAAATTCAAGTGACTTTAATACCAGTATTTTGACTGCACATCCCTAGAGAGACATAATCTGAGAACATGAAGGACCTAAAGTTTTTAATCACATTTAGTAGATTTATTAGTAATAGTATTATTTGTTTGGCTATTTTGAAATTATTATAGGCATTTTTAAATTACTTTGGAGTAAATCAAATAAGTCATTATGTAATATCATTAGAAATCAAGATTTTTAGCTTAGAGAAGAGATATAATTATAAAATCTAAGATGTAAAACACCCAGAATCTTAAATTAAAATGGGAAATACTGATATAAAATTTCTTCCCTAAAAAATGTATTTTCCTAGCTCTGTCCACTGAAAAGGCCTAGAAGCAGTAAAAGCCAAATAGGAATAGGGTGTCTCAACACCATGATAATTTTTAAATGCCATAAAAGGAACGAGGTCTCCTTGGATAAGTGGTTACTTCCAGCTCTGAGTCAGGAAATGTAGAAGTCTAAGCTATGGAGAGCTGAACAGGCCATGTCAAAATACCGGAGGAGCCAACCTAGCAGGGCTCCTGCAGGACTGAAATAGGAAAACTGAGCACCAAAAAGAATAAATTACTTCACAGCATTAAAACTGATAAATTAGGTAAAAATCTATGAGTTCAATAAAATACTATAAACGAAAAAAAACTTAGTGTTCCTTGCTCACCAACTCATTAGTACACTGAAAACTGACAAATACAGGGAAAGAATCAAACATTTATCCTGTAGATTTGTATTTCAGGATAACAAAATAGTTGATAAGGGAAGGGTCTTCTTTATACCTTCAGCTAGCAAATGTGGAAGGAATAACAATTTTAAAAAGCCTGTTTTGTAATAATGGATTTATGAAATAACCATCCATGGATGTTAAAACCATTGGGTAAACGGCTGACTGGAACTTCCTAAGAGAAGATTCAGGCTGACTGGTAAGGCCACTAATTAATTGTATCGTCACCTGAAGCAGAACAACCAAGCATTAGTGCCTCATGATGTGATGCAACAGTGGTAGTGCCTATTCTTACCCAAAGAATTGAACCTATTCAAACCTCTAGGCCTAAATTCCAGTTCATAAGATAAGAGAGATAAAATAACAAATTAAGAAACGCAATTATGCAATTAGTCAAATCCAGAATGTGGGAAATTCCACAAGACAAATCAATGTCATTTAAAAAAAAAAAAAGTGGGAACCATTGTGGCATAAAAAACAATGAAGAAGAGTTACAACAATCAAAATCAATGTGTAGATCTTGTCTGAACCTTAATTTGACTATAACTGTAAAAAATTGGGGTGATAAATCACAAAATTTGAATATGGACAGAGTACTGGAGGATATTAAGTATGGTTGGTTTCGCTAGGCATTATAATGGCATGGTAGTTGTTTTTCAAAGTGTCTTTATCAGGAATATGCATGTCTAGGAGTTGCTTTAAAATATTCAGAAAAAAAGTTGAGGGAGATGGATGAGACAGATTGGCCATTTGTTGATAAATGTTGACTTATTTGTTTATAAATGTTGATTATACCACCACTGAGTGAGGGGTGTATTATACTATTCTTTCTGCTTTGGTGTATATTTGAAATTTTCCATTAGAAAAGTTCTTCTAAAAGCACACCCAAATAAGTATTGTATATAACTCTCCCTACGAAAGCAACAGAGCATATAGATATATCTAAACTGAAAATATATTTGAACTTACAGTCTGCTCTTTTGTTTTCCCAAGACACTAAAGTGAAAATCCCAGAAATTTTGGGAAAATCAATGAACTAAAATGAGCATACCAGAAAAAAATAAAAATACCAATCATTTTGGTCAGCACCATACTATGTAGCTTTTTGCACAACAAACATTAACCACAACACATTTATGCAATAATTTTGGTCAATAAAACAACCAAAATTTTTGTCAAGTGAAATTTTAATCTGGCAGATGTATAAGCCAAAGATAAAATACTTAAGGTTAAAATAGCCAAAGGTATAAATCAAAGTCAATAATTCAAGTGTTAAGTAGAGTTGTTTCTAAAAATCATCCAGTAAAATATATTAAAATGAAATTTATGTTTTGAATGAATGCTTAGTTCTTTGATTTTTTTAAAGAAAGCCCTTGTTTTTATATAAAAATGTCATCTCCCATGATCCAAAATTTCAGACCCCAAAGCACAGTAAGTACTTAAGGTGAACTTACGGCAATTTTTCTCGTCTGAAGTGTCATTATCGTGGCAGTTGTTTACGCCGTTGCAGACAAACTGGAGAGGTATGCACCTCCTGTTACTGCACGTAAATTCCGTGGTGGCATTACACGCACTGAACAGGCACCCTTCCTCATCACTGTTGTCACCACAGTCATTGTAGTGATCACAGCGATAATGATACGGGACACATCGCCCATTGTCACAGGTGAAGGCTGTCGAATGGCAGGTGTGAAATGCTAAGAGGAGGGAAAAAGGCACTGATGAAACCCCTTGAATAAAGCATCATCCTAATTTCTCAAAAGATACAATCAAATAGAATAGACACTTAGAGTTTACCTTCCAAGGCAAAAACGGCTGCAAAATGGACTGCATGCAAAGTGAGATAACACTTTAAATTAGTTAGATTAAGCAAAATATGATGTAGGCTTTTTTTTTTTTCTCCAGCAAATAAAGTATTTTAAGCAAATGGCAAAGTCACTCCATTTCTCTATCATCTCAATTTAAAAGTTTATCTTACTCACAGAAGAGCATGTAAATACAGTTTCTTTGGGGGAAATAAAACTCTTATCCCCTACACAGTCTACTAGAAAAAGGTAACTAACCTCAGATCATCCTAAGAAAGTCTACTGTGTTTTACTCACCCCAATCAGATGGAAGCATAGTATTGGGAGTGATTTGAATAAAATTATTGAATTAATGATCCTTCTGCTATTTAAATTAATAAAACTATAACAATCTCTTACTGGAGCCCTTAATTCCATGCTAAGTCATGCTTACCATGCATCAAGCCTCCTGTTGTGTTTTTTATACTATTTCTCTTATGCTTCACAAGAATCCTAGTAATTGCTCCATTTTACAGATGAGATGCCTGAGGCTCAGAGAGGCTAAGTAACTTTCACAAGGCTATATAGATTGTGTAAATGGCATAGCCAGGATTTTAATTCAGCACGTTTTGCTTTTAATCACTACAGAGGGGCTTCCTAATGAACCTATTCCATGGCACATGTATCAGTTTATTTGTGATTTAGCAGAAATGCAGCCTGGATTCTCAGAGTAAATGCTTTTCATTTCTAACAGGATGCCCAGATACAAATTGCAAATGTATTCACACATAGCAGGATTCTGTACCAAACACTTGACATAAAGACAACTTTAGCTCCTAACAAAAGCTCCAAGAGTCCAACTCACCACACACATTTTCCAGCTCATCACTGCCATCACCACAGTCATTGCTGTTGTCACATTTCCACTGCTCCAAGATGCAGCGCCCATTGAGGCAGGTGAAATTGGAACCAACACACCGTACACCACTGTCCACAATGCAATGCTTATTGTTGTTGGCCAGATACCAGTGGCCCTCCTGTGGACACTGGCACTCGGCACCATTTGGACCTGAAGAAAGGCCCAGAGAAAGCAAAAGACTTGTGTAGTAAACATTCATAGTTTCTCCTCCAGAGTAGAACTTGGCAACAGCTTCTACATTGAATGTGCTATAAGACAAGCCAGGGAAACTGCTTCCATCAACCTTTCAAAGATATTCTGAGTTATATTTCCATCAAGAAGAACCACCGCCAATTGATCAATGTGGCTGATTCACCCTAATCTTTAAACAACTTCTCATCTACACTGAAACAATTGCAATGATTCTACCTTCTCAGCAAAATCTGCGAAGCATCGGTACCACAAGGCACATCTTCCTATGTGTTGTTCTCTGTAAAACCCACTATGAAGCACATCACACATCATATCATTAGAAACATTCCTCCTAAGTGGAAGAATTAAATCCCAATCCCCATCTTTCTTTCTACCTCCATCAAGCTTGAATTAAAAATGCCTTCATAAGAGGGCTCCATATCAAATAGAAAAAAAACCCTGTCAAAATCTTCCTTTCAACATACAAACCTCCAAACCTATATTTTGAATTACCCTGAAATCAAGAATTTGGAGTTCGTTCTTCTTTACAGCATTCCCTAAGTTGTCACATTATCATGCTCCTTGATTCTATCTTCACGAGCAATGCCTTACCTGGTGCACAAATATGGCTGCAGCCCCCGTTAAACTGGTCGCAAGGATTGCTGCACTGCTGTGGGTGGTCCTTCACAACAACACAAACACCCATAAGCCGGACTGGAAAACTCGTGGTCATTGCAGTCTGGCCTGATCCATCATATTTGTTAGCTCGGTAAATTTTTTTTGTGGACCAGTCAGTCCAGTAAATATACTGGCCATTGAGAGTCAAGCCAAAAGGACGCAAGATTGTGCTGACAATGACCTCACGGTCCATGCCCTTTAGAGTGCTGCGTTCAATCTTGCGCCTAAAACAGAGTAAAAAAAAAAAAAAAAATGCTTGAATCCAGAAAGAGTAAGTTCTTCAACTGGCAGTGTAATGCCTGGGCCTAACCATTGCTTTCCACAAGCCCTCGACCTTCTTTTCAAGTGGAGGATATGCCACAGGAAATGTTCCTTCTAGTAATGGGAGGTCTTAATTTGGTTATCAAACAATGGCCTATATAATTAATTTCCAATTACTAATATAAACTACAAATAATCCTATAAAAAGGACCAGGTTGACATTAGTAACAGGAGAATATTATGAAATAACACATGTAATGCGTGGAACTCAGTGTTTAGCACATAGTAGTCACTCAATAAAATAATTAACTTTCTCCCAACTCCCTTCATGAATTTTTTGATTTGTCATTTACTGAGTGCTTTGAGATATTTACCAGAAATAATCCAAATTTAGACACAAAACATCACTGCTTTGTTTCAAATAAATTGAAGATCAGGTTGTTAGGTACTCAGTGTCACAGAGCCAAAAACATAAGAAAGTAATCAAGAAAAATGAAGATTCCTGACATGTAGATACCAGCCATAATAAACAAAATCATCTCATCTCTTCAACTATTCCATTAGGATGATTGGAGTGTAATTTCAGGGGTCCTTGGAGATGTTACATATAAAATTAGAGTTAACGAAAGTATCTAAGGAAAATATTAAGAAAGAATCTATTTGAGAAAATAACTAAAGTCAAGACTAAAGGAAAATATTTTAATAAGACACTGAACACTAAAGCCCAGAGAAAACTTCATATCAATGTGTATTTAAAAGTCATTCATATTTTATGGTAGTTAAATGGATCCTGTAGATTATAAATTGAGTGGTTACATTTGGAAGCATAGTTGAAATTAATTCATCTAGTAATGCATCTTTAGATGCCTTTTAGTTCATAATTGTTAACTCTCATAACATAGATTAATTTTCACAGGTACATTCACCAAGCTAGAATATTGTTTCCAAAACTTATTCTGTGTTTTGGCTACATCTGTTTGGCATTTTATATTGTCATTCCATTATGCAAATCTCTCCTCTTTGAAAGTGGGAAGAATTCGTCTTATCCACACCTACATGAATAACCAAAGACACATACAAACTAGTATCTGTCCAGTAGAGAAGATCTTCCTCATGGTCCACAGTGAGCCCACAGGGCCAGACCAGGCTGCTGTTCACAATGGGTTCCCGGAAGTTTCCTCCCATTGTGGCTCTCTCAATTTTGGCATTAGTATCCCAGGAACTCCAGTAGATGTACCTAGTCATCCAAAAAAAGTCATAATTAATTCATTACAAGGAACCTCATAATCTTTACTTGAAAAAGAAGAACAGCCATCTTTAACTGAAAATTGATATTAACAAGGCAAATATAACCCTACTCATTTCCTACCCACACAACTTGCCCAAAAGGGATTTACTGAGTCAGAGCATTGACTCCCTAGTATACTGCCAACCTTTCTAGCATAAAGGTGAGTTCCTTCCCAGGTAAAATCACTCATGCTCTTTCACCCTTGAGTCAGTAGCTACAGTGTTACAGGCCATAAAATGTTGGCCCTCTATGAACATAAAATAATTTCACGCCCCTCTCCCTTCAGAAATAAGCAGACAGAAAGATAATAAGAAAGATGATGGCATACCCTCCACAAGGATCTAACACAATTGCTCTTGGCTTTGGAACATGGGCTATCACAGCACGCTTAGATCCATCCTCAGCCATGGAGTTAATCGTCTGGTTGGTAAAGTCACTGTAATAAACTCTTCTATTGATCCAGTCAAAAGCAATGCCATCAGTAGTCCCTATATCTGGACATACACCAACAAACACACATACATTAAGAGTCTCAATATGCATTTTTAGAATCAATGGGTCATCTAGTGTGTTGATCCCACTGTGTCCAAGGTAAGCTACACCTGGAGTACACTTACCTGAAACAATGACAGTGGGAGAACTGATCCCTGCATTCAGGTTGACATAGGAAATCTGGCCATGTCTAGCTTCTAAATTTTGTGTGAAGTAAATTCTGTTATTTATGCTGTCATAGTCCAGGGCCATGACATGTCCTCCCACACTTATTGCTTGGAAAGGTAGGGTATGGTCTTCAGGATCTAAGTGTAAGCTTCCCAAGGAATTCTCTAAGGCAAAGATGAGGAAATTTTCTTTTGGAATGGTACAACTCTTGCCATCACGGTCCAGGGTCCCAAAAACACAGCTACAGTTTGGGGTGTGCAATCCAGGTAGAGCAAAGCAGAGATGGGGGCATCCACCATTATTTTCCAAGCAAGGGTTGTTGTTGACCTCTGATGCTGACCGGGGCTGGACACTCCGGTCAAAGACTGTCACATCTCTTAGCCAATTGATATTGTCCCTTATCACGGCTGGTGGCTCTGTGTTCCCTGGTTCCTTGCTAGCTTGGAAGATTTTTTTTAAATTTCTGTCTACCCATATGATAGAATTTCCAAAAACAGTGATGGCATAAGGAGTTGGGTAACGACTGCCATAACGAATCACTTTCAATTCCTTTCCCTCAGCATTGATCCTTGAAATTACATCTAAAGTATCATCAACCCAATAAACGTAGCCATTGCTATGGTCCACTGCTAAGCCCCGTGGTGAGACAATGCCTTCTGATACAAGCACAGTCCGATTGGTGCAGTCAAGAAAAGCACGTTCAATCTTTGGGTTTTGCCCATAGTCAGCCCAGAAGAGGTATCTATTCTTGGGGTCTACAACAATATCCCTGGGCATATCCACTATGACTCTAAGGAGAACCCGACGGTAGGTGGTATTGATGCGCAGAACTTCTATCAGGGCTTCAGAGTCAAAAGCATTGATGAAATAAAGGTTTTCTGCAAGGGGAAAAAAAAGCATGCTGATGAATGGAAAGCCAAGAAGAAAAAAGAGCACACCTCTTCAAATTCTAAACAAAATATGTAAGGTTGAGGTTTGGCTTAGTAGATATTGTCTTTTCCAAGATAATAAATGTCTCACTTTAGACTTAGAAAAATAAGTGTTTACTCGGGATCTAAAAAGATTGTTTCTTCAAATTTAAAGAGAAATGTGCCTATCTTCAGCTTCTAAAGCACATTAGAATTCACAGCAAATGTCAGAACCCACTTTCTACTCAAAGGTGTATTTCTAAGAATGTCCTTCCTTTTCTACCTGAATGTTTAACACCTGAATTTTCAAAGACTCTAAATATACATCATCATGGTATAACTTCTGCTCCAACATGATGAAAAGGAGCAAAGAGGGAAAGCCATCAGGATCTCAGGTTGTTGATCAATGTCATCAGTGCTCCTTGCTCTTAACATTAACATGAGGTCTTTTTCTAGTCTTTCTAACTAGTATAGGTGTTTTCATCCCTTGAACCTTCTCCAGCCATCAAGACAAAAGTGCATTTTCCTTTGAGCATTACAGAACAATGTAAATGCAAGAATAAAAAGACCATGATGTGAAGACAGTATAATGGAGAGTAATCCCAAATCAATTCTATGAAGTTGAAAGTGTGTTGTTAAACTATCTACCAAGGCACATCTACTTTGTTCCTGTACCTGACTCGATAGACAATGTTACTGATCTGCTCTTTTCATTACTTATCTCTAATTGGACTATAAGTATATTCTAATCCTTTAATCCTGGGTTGGCAAACTTTTTCTATAAAGGCTTATTAATAGTAAATATTTTTAGCTTTGCAGAGCATATGCTTTCTTTCACAAGCACTCAGTTCTGCCACTATAACACAAAAGCAGCCATGGCCAATACATAAACAAATGGGCATAGCTGTGTTGCAGTCATTTGGCCCATAGGCCACAGACTACTGACTCCTGCTTTAACTATACCCTCAGTAATAACATAGTAAATTCATAATCAGGAATGAGATTTAGAAACCCTATTAACACCTTACCTAAGCATACTACCATCATTTGCAATAAACTCTTATGATAGTACCTAGATTTTTATAATACATTTTAATATTTCTATGTGATATCTACTTACCAAGCTGGGTAACACTCAGTGATACCTATTTTTATAGAATGGCATTATATTCTAAAAATTATAATATATTTAATACAGTTGATTCTCAGTGTATCATTAAAAATGAGTGATATTTCAAAGTTAAGTACATAAAGCAATACAACTAATTTAATGTAATATTGGGTCTGGCATTTCAATAGAACTACAATAGAGAAAGTGCCTAATCAAAGAAGTATTTATAATTAACATGAGGAAGCAATTAAGAATTTGGAAACTAAAATTTCTCAGCTTTAAAATAAATACTAGCCATTTCATGGATTACATTATATTTTAATATCAGAAAAACAGATCTGTAGTATATAACACTAGACTAAACTTTCTAGCATAAACTAATATGATGAAGATACAAACACAAAAAAGTTTTTCAATAAAATCAGTATATAGTTTACCTACCTGCTACCCAGTCCATGGCAATACCCCGCACTCCATTTTCACCTATCCCATGGGTAATGATGTTTGTGAAACCAGATCCATCGGGTTTGACTCTACGGATTGCATTATAAGATTTCTCTGAGATGCTGAAATCACACCAATAAATAAATCCAGAAGACACATCAACATCCACATGCAGTGCATTTCGTCCTGGAATGTTCAAGAAAATATCATTAAACAAGGCTCTAGCTGGAACTAGAACTTTTAAATGTCTGCCCTTCCTCTCAAACCCTCATTCCCAAACCCCTGCTCCGGCTATGTCCCCATTACAAGATAAAACTATTTGATTCCTAGTCGCAATGAGCACACCTACCACCCAGATCTTGGTTTCTCACATTTCCCACAATAAAGAACACTGGTGGGGTGGGCAGGTATGAGGTAAGGCTGGAACGTCTCACTACACTAAGAAGCAAGGAAGCACTCAGACACTAATGGAAGCATGTCAAAAGCACAGAGGCAGCCTCTGCAAGAGGCTCACCCTGGCCAACATGGATCAGCATCAGAAGTGCAATTACGTCAAATGATTTATAACACATTGAGTAAAAAAAATAAAAATTTTGACTCCACAGTGATGATAATTTTTTTTAACTTTAACTTTAACTTTAAATAGGACAGTTCTCCTAGAAGAATGTTATCTATTAAATGTAGAAGAAATGATAGAATAAGAAAATCACTATTTTGCAATCCTAATTAAATAATCAGTTCAGACAGGGATTGTCAGTGGCTGCTAAAACCAATGGGTAAAAGGCACTTGGGAAACAAGATACTCATAGGGTGTCAAAGTGTAACCCCCCCAAAATTTCATACAAATTACAAAGGGGAAAATATATCTTTAAAAGGCAAGGATTTCACGGTGACCACCTTAACCAAGTGATCAAGTTTAAGTATCATTGAGGGGAACATGCTGAAATTATGTTCTTAATAAGATTCTGTACCAAGTATACAGCATTTATTTATGAAGCATTCTTGCCAAATGTGTTCAACCCCAATCGAATCAATTAGACCTAACCTTCATTTCATGGGAAATGCAAGGTATAAACTGAATAACAGGTTAAATGACAAATATTCAAATAATAATCAAACAAATCCTCAATGTGAGATTCTGAAAGACAACAGGTCTCAACCCCCCCACAAAAAAAAAAAACAAAAACAGGAGCAACTACTACAGATCAAAAGACACTAAAGAGACACTCCAAATATAATGCATGAATCTTCATTAGCTCTTGGCTGGAACACAACAGTAGTTATAAAAAAATTTCTGAGGCAAACTAGAGAAATATAAATGTGCATATTAGATGCTAATTCCATTAAAAGTTGCATGCTAAAGTATGTAGGGGTGAAGCATATCTGCAGTTATTTGTAAAAAGTTCATTTAAAATGTTTGTATATGTACAAGGTGGGGCAAAAGTAGGCTTACGGCTCTGAGTGCATGAAAGAGTTTATTTTTGTATTATTATTTATTATTGTATTATTTTCCATATGAACTGTAAACCTACTTTTGCCCACCTGTATGTATATACACACACAAATTGAGAGCTCAAATGTGATGAGATGTTAACAATTGTTGAATCTAGGGAAGAGTACAAAGATGCCTAACTGTATTTTTCAAATTTTTGGCATTTGAAATTTTTTAGAATGAAAAGTTGTGAGGAAAAAATTACTGATTTTAAAATATCTTTACAAGATGGCAACTTAGAACATTACTTTTTAGATACGCGAAAACAAAGATGTGTCATGAGAACACGTGAATCCGGTCATCAAGCGGTGCCAGAGCACTGACGCCTTCACCATGTGCTTTCTTCTCTCTCTCTACTGACCATTTCTCCCAACCCTTCATTCCCTTCATCCTTTTATCTTCCCTTTCTACCTTTTATTTCTGTCATTGGCCTGTGACACGCTCCTTCTAATGCTACTAAAAACTTAGTTCCTCTTTTGGTAACATACACCTAGAAGCCTCTTGGCTCACTTAGGAAGCAAGCGATCATTTTATACCTTCACGGCATATAAGCCCAAAGTACTGCAAAAATATAATTATTAAGGAGAGACTAATACTGTCAACTAATTTATTTCAACTCAAATATTAATAAATCAGATTGGGGACTATTTCATTACCATTCTAAATAGTAGTGTACTTTCTACCCTAAATTTCCATTAATACTCAGAAATAGGATCCAGTTCTTCTGACCAGCAGCTCTGTGATACTTCTTGGAATCTCATGCTACATTCTCTTTTGCTCTAGGCCTGCCATTCTCACTGTGGTCCATGGACCAGCAACATAAGCATGCACTGGGGATTTGCTAGGAGAGCAGATTCTCTAGCCCTGCTCCAGACTACTAAATCAGAAAATCCATGGATAGGGCCCAGATCTGTATTTTAAAAGCTCTCCAATTCTGAAACACACTAAAGTTTGAGAACCACTTGAGGCTGAGCCAGTTTACTTAAAGGGAAAGACAAGCTTCATTATGTGCTGAACCCAAACATGGAGAAATGCTTTGCAGTACCAAGGATTTCAAAGTGGCACCAGATGGAATAAAATCTTACTTATATTGGAGTTGGCATACCTTGGCCTGCCACTGGTACCATGGCTTCTGAATGATCTGACAGTTCCAAGCTAAAGCCTCTTATTGCAGACAGCATTGAAACAACAATGAAAGAGTTGTAGGGAGAGCAGGTCTGGCTATCAGGATTGAGTTTAAATCCAGTGGCACAGGCACACGAGAACAGTCCTCCTGGTACAGGCAAGCAGATCTGCTGACAGGCATGCACGTTGTTGCTACAGCCATTTGAGGATCCGGCAGAGTCTAAATGAAATCAAAATCAGTTTGTAACTTTTGACCCTACCTACTTGCCTCTCCATTTCAAACTTTTAAAATTGAGTTACCAAATAACTCATTATAAAAGTTAATAACAAAATATGGTATCTGAGTTCACAACTTAAAAACAATACTAGAAAGACTAGAGCTTATACAATTAACACCTAAAGGTATGAAAACAGGACCACAGTTATTATAAATAGTTAGAGAATGGAGCATCAGTTAATTGTATTTCTTCCACAAATCATGCAAGAATTAGGGGGGGTCAATATAATTTTTTTTTCCTTCTTGGCCTATGTACTAATATATAAAATTATATTCATTTAAACACATGATCAACAATGTGATAGGCATTTGTGATAAAATATATTAAGTAAGAGTATTTAAAGGTTTTTCACATGCAATAAAAATACCCGTGACAACGTAGGTTATAGGACAGCAAACAAATTGCTTGATAATCTTTGGTTAGAGACTAAAAACTATAAAACATGTCAAAACTATAAAAATAATCTCTAGGTCATAATGCTAATTTAAAGGGGCAAAACAAAAGTTAGATTATTTAAGGGGGGGAAATATGTTGAAATAGGCAACATCTAAGAGTATTCCTTTTAAGATAAAAAATTCCTTTTAACACTTTCTCACCAGTCATCCAATTAATATTTACTGAGCAATGTGCCAGAACTATTCTAGCTACTGGGCTGAGAACATGAAACAAGACAGACAAAATGACTGTCCTTGCGGAGGTTACATTCTAATGAGAACTCAGGCAATAAACCAATGGATAATATGTCAGCGAGTGCTAGGAAGCAAAAGAAATGTAAGTCATTTAAAGTGATGGGGAAAGAATGGGAATGAGCTCACTCTAAAGTCAATCTGGCCTTTCAGATGCCAGATTAGTCTGTGACACTTAGCCATACTTAAGACATGGTTATCATTTTTTTAAATATTTTGGGTAATTTCAATTTGCGCGCATGTGTATGTACATAGGTCTGTGTGTGGGCATGTGTTTATATCTAAGTGTGTAGATGTGAATATACATTGTATATCCATGAATGTGTATGTTTCAGTGACAAATACTTACTGTGTCTATGGTAAACTCGAAGTCCCCTCAGATTTGGAGTGTTATCTCGCAAGACTACTTTGTTGGCCCCAGTAGCCTTGTCAACTCTTTCAATGACCTCGTAATGCTCATCAGTGTAATAAAGGAAGGGACCGTAGACAGCAATTCCCCAAGGGTGAGAAAGGTAGTTTACCAGAACCATTCGATTGGTACCATCCACGTTTCCTCTTTCAATCTAAAAGATTAGAATTTTGTTATTAACTGATTCATAGTGAAATGAGAGAAACATTTAAAACTAATATACCTGACATTTATACAGCACTCTGTCCTTTACAGAGATTTTTAATATCTATTTTCTGAGATGATAGTCAGAATGACACTAAGCAATAGGTCAGGTAAATGTCATTGTGCCCATTTCATTGAAAATGAAGCTGGAGTTCAAGTAAGTCAATCAACTTTCAAAGGTGGCAATGGTGAAGAAATGGGGATGAAACCTCTTTCATCCCTGCATGTAACAATCTGGTCAAAGATACACAATTAATGTCCCCTTAAATATGTCCAACTGTGGGCCATTACACAGGAGTTGATTGACCCTGCATTTAATATCATCAACAACTTCTACAATGGGGATAGGAAATGTGCTCTGTACAATCACAAAAGCTAGTGAGACTGGTAAGGCAAAGGGTAGTGCTGGTAGAACAGAACAGGTAACAAGCCTTAGTCAAAATGGTGGTAAACCAGAAAAGAACACACAAGAATGAAGTTCCTACTGGGAAATGACAAGTGGTCTGCTTCTGGAAGGAAAACAAAATGTAGGCACAGCTAGTCTGATTTCATTTCAAAAACGTGTCTCAAGTGCCTCTTTTGTGCTAGGATCTGAGCTGAGTACTGGCAAGAGAGACAAACGAGGCTGGCCCACTGCCTCATTAGACAAGGGCACCGAGCAGTTGCAAGAGCAGGTTGTGCGTTAGAAACTGACAGAAGTTCCAGAAAGCTAGAGCACAGGGAAGATAAGGTTGGGGGGGATCTGCTGAGGGAGTAATCTGGAGCAGATTAGCTGACTAAGCTCAGCTAAAGTGTTTGGAGCTACTCCTCTAGGCCAGGGTTCTAGCTGAGCAGTGATCAAACCTATTTGTTGTGGTTTTATGAAGACAACATGTCTCCATCATGAAAGTGGGTCCAGTAATGAGGGCCACGGTCTAGTCAAGGCTAGAGAGAAGTGGCTCAGAAGGGTGGAGGTGGCAGAAAAAGCCTGGACCTGAGGAAAGAGGCAGAGGACAAAGATTTTGTAATGATTAAGTAAGGAATGGTTATTAGAGTGAAGGAGAAATATGAGGGTTCTAGCCTAGGAGAAAGGATGGAGAGTCACACCACTAACAAGATTCAAGAGGGCAGAGCAGAAGTAGAAAAGGGAAAGGAGGAAGATGGTGAGTACTGTGTGGGTCATGCTAAGTTGTACACAGAAATCATAGTATGTGACAAGAGCTTTCTCATCATTGCACACAACTCAGAACCATCAGCATCAGCCCAGAAAGTTCAGCAATGAAAACCAACAGACTAAAAGGGTGCTCATACCACTCCCCTGCTGGTGACGGCCCAGTAGAGCTTCTGTTCCTCTATATCAAGAGTGAGAAACTCCAAGTGTTCAAGGTCTCCAGTGAAAAGGGTCTTTGGAGATGTGCCATCCATGTGAGCACTTGCAATCTTAGCAGGAACTCCACTGTCAGTTCCTTGGTCTGACCAGTAGAGTTTCCTACAACCATGAAAAACACCGACATTAATGAAACAGATGCTGGATTAGAGTGAATGGCATCTCTAATTTAAATATTTAAATGAAAATATGTATTTCTTGTCCTCAAGATACACACAATCCAATGGAGGAAGTCTGATACGTCAATATTTTTGTAAAATACAATATGGAGGAGCACTTAACCAGTACAATGTCTGTATTTGTCCTAGTTATTACTGGTATAAGGGCAATTTTAAATAGTATCTAAACCAGGAGGATATCATCTACCATTGGTGGATGATCATTTAGCCTGATCAAGCAGGTGGAAGGCTTATGATTAAGAAGGAGCCTACATCCCTTTCAAAAAAAATCACAAATTGCCCAGTATACTGGGAAGGACAAAGCTAATGTAAAAATTGTCAAGTACCTCCCTGCTTACCTCTCAGACTTCTTTTTTTTTTTTTTTTAAATATGTCTTTATTGATTTCAGAGAGAGGAAGGGAGAGGGAGAGAGAGAGAAAAACATCAATGATGAGAGAGTCATTGATCAGCTGCCTCCTGCACGCTCTCTGCTGGGGATCAAGCCTGAAACCTGAGCATGTGCCCTGACCAGGAATCAAACCACAATCTCCTGGATCATAGGTCAATGCTCAACCACTGAACCACGCCCAGCTGGGCCTTTATCAGTTTTTTTAAGGTCATTCCTACTTTAATTCCTGGCCCATAATTTTCACTATTAATCAATTATTTCATCACTTTCATCCGCTCTTAAAAATATAATCAGGTTTCCCTATTCTAAAATGTTTTCCTGTTATATTTTGACCTACACACGTTTATCTTTTTCTAATTTTTCAATACCAAACTCCTAAAAAGAGTAGTCCTATTTCCTTACCTTCCTTTCATTCTTTAACTCCTTTGTATATTGAATGAACATCCTCTCTCAAATGTCACCAGCAACTCTATAATTGCCTCAACCCTTTATTAGTGATCATCCACAGAATATTTTTCTGCAGCAATTGATTCAATAACATTGACCATAACTTTCTAAAGGCTTTCTCTTTACTGAGCATCCAAGGCATTATATCCATGAGTCTCTGTCTTATTTCTTCTCTCAGTTCCTCTGACAAAATCATTGCCTCCCAATCCAACTGGGCTGCTCTCCCTTTTCTGCTCCTGCTCTTGACTTCTCTTCCCTCATAGAATGAAAGATATCTTCAAAGCCACCTCTGCCAGGTGAAATTCCATATATCTTTTAAGATGCAGTCCAAGTAGCATCACCTCTATCAAGCTGAAAATTTCTCTCTGCAGAACTCTCATCCCATTTTTATTTTATTTTTTTTGCCTCTCTTATGGCTCTTAACCATATACACACCTGGGTTATTGATATTTAAGCACGGGTCTTATCCAATTTACCAAGTTATAAATTCTTGAAGTTACAAAAATCATAGATCATGTCTTTAATAATCTTTGTACCTAACCCATATACCCTTGACCTTGGCAGAGACCATTTTCACTCATCAAAATCAATGTATACCTCTTCTTTCTTGGTAAAAAGCAAAACTACATGACCTGTCTTCCTTGTAGTTATCTGTGGCCATGTGACCAAATTCTAACCAAAGGAATGTGAGCAGAAGTAGTATGCATTACTTGTAGGCCTGGACCATAAAAACCGCCCAGCACATTCCTTTACTGCTCAAAAGTTGTCAACACCCAGGATGACCTTGAAAGTCTCCTACTGAAGACCCCATCAGCCTGGGTCCCTGAATGACTGTGTAGAATAGAGCTTCTCCCACCTTCTACCCAAACTCCAGGGCCCAAATGAAAGACAAAATTCTATTTTCTTTGAGCCATTATACATTTTGGAGTTTACTTCGATAGTTAACCAATCCTAACTAAGAGACCACCTAATAATGGGAGTACCATAAATAAATGTTTGATGAATGGATAATGCATGAGCTTGAGTTTCAAAAGAGGAACTTTAAATCTAAGCTGGTCTTTCTTCTAGAAAGGATAACTGAAAGCTAGGACAGGCCAGCAATCATAGAATTCTTGCTTTAAGAATTAAGATGGATTTTCACATCACCCTTACTTGAAGCGGAGAGCTAATACAAATTACTTCTTCAGTTCCCTTCCAGGCCTGAGAATCTGCTGGCTGTCAAACAGAAAATCAAAATCCACTTGGGATGATGTAACTATTCTTTTTAAAAGTCAATGCTCAAATTTTATAATTTATTATTCTAGTTTATAAAACAATATAAAATGAAACAACTGGTTAAACAGACCAGAGGGTTCTAGTTTATATCATTAATTCCATTTTCTCCTGTTCTCCCTGCCCCTGGCCTCTTCTACTCCAATCCTGGCCAATCACTCTGAAATACAGATTTTGTTCCATCACTCCCTTCCTCCAAATTCCCTGCTGGCTCCTTATTTCTCTGAAGAATCTATCGCAACTCCTCAGCAATGATATTAAAGCTCTCCATGAATTGTCTAGAAACCTTCTCATCCTATAAGGCTTTTTTTCAGATGTTATCTATACCCTTAAAGTTTTCCACATTTGCTCAAAGTCAGAATGTATTGCTCATTCTTATAATCCTATTTTTACATTCCTGAAATCCTCACTTGTTTGGAATTAATTTTCAGCCCAATGTTATTAATTTGAAGAACACAACAAAATACATAATATATCCTTCACATTAAATATACCACAGAGCTATTTCTCTTCCTCACTGAGATCTCTATTTACCAAATGTTGGCATATGAAATCAGAAAATGCCCTAGGTCTGAAATCTTCCATTTTACCAGACCATAATATTCACAAGAATGGTGCTGCACAGAAGGCGCGAGCCATTCATTAGCACTCACCCATTAGCAGGATCAACGGTTATGCCAACTGGAAAACCAACTCCAAGAGCTGTCCCATCATTGGTAATCAGTGTTTTTCTGTATCTGACATCTCCCTGGAGTGTCAAAACCTATAGCATAAAGTCACTTATTAGAACTGAGCTTCATAAGGGGAAAACAAAGGAGGCTGAGATGAAGGAGAACTTAAAACACACAACAAATTCCAAAGCATGATCAAGGACGAATGGGAGGTTTTACATGAGGTTCATCTAATTCCTGATTGCATTTCAGGGCTAAAAGGAAATCCACGCAGTAGAAAATGAGAGTAAGAAAAGTAAAATCACCTCTCAAATTCCTATTTTCAATTCACCTAAAATTTCAAGAGAGGAAATGTATATGAAGAAAAGACAGATTCAAATGAGGAACATAGAGAATCTCTGCCAGAGAGAAACTACAAAAAAAAAAAAAAAAAAACTTTTGGAAAAAGATAAAAGAAAACTATGGAGGACAAATGGGAACCCCATAGCTCTCCTGCACCCCAGTGACTGTGCCATAGCACCAGTGGCCCATCACTGCAAACACAGTTGATCAAACAGTGTGAATTCTGTTCCAAGTTAACAGTCTGAGTTAAAATACATGAGTTCAAATCCCTGCCCTGCCAGGTGTGACTGTAAAATCTGAAGCAAGTGAATTCGCCTCTCTGAACTTAGTTTCTTTATCATTAAAATGTGGGTGACAATGGCACCTTCTGCACAGAGCTCACAATGAGATAACACACTAAAGCACTTAACACAGTCACTGGCACAAGTGTGTTTAATAAATGTTTCCTATTTTCTTATTGGTCCATTTACCGGGCACTTAGTATGCACCAGGCATTCTACTAAGCATTATCGGATAATCCTCAGGATAATCCTGTGAGATACATACCATTATTATGCCCATACTACAGGTGATGAAAAAGAGGCCTAAAAAGATTTAGTGTCTTTCCCAATGCTATCTATTTTTTAAAAAACATGTTTTTATTGATTTCAGAGAGAGGAAAAGAGGAGAGAGACAAAAACATCGATGATGAGAAAGAGCCATTGATCGGCTGCCTCCTGCACACCCCCCACTGGGATCAAGCCCACAACCCCGGCATGTGCCCTGACCAGGAATCGAACCATGACCTCCTGGTTCATGGGTTGACGCTCAACCACTGAACCCTACTGACTGGGCCCAATGCTACCTATTTTTAATTATTATTGCTGTTATGTCATAATCACAATGTTAACAGAACCCTGAAACATCACAGAGAAATATGGATTACTGGACTAGAAGTAGTTTTTCTAGGAGCAAGGCTATTTTAATATGCACCTGAGATGGTTTGAGGAAAGAAACAACTAGTAAGAAATTAACAAATGTCTGTTGATTTGCATGTTTCTATAAAACTGTTTCAGTGCAAATAGTTATTTGTGTATCTGTGTTTGTTTCTTTCTCTGTCCCTCTCTCTGTCTCTATATGCATCTCTCTCCCTCCCTCCCTGTCTCTCCATCTCACACACACACCCTTCTTCTCTCCCTCCCTCCCTCTCTCTCTTTCTCTCTCTCTCTCTCTCTCTCTCTCTCACACACACACACACACACACACACACACACACCCTTCTTCTCTCCTTCCCTCTCTTTCTCTCTCTCTCTCTCTCTCACACACACACACACATACACACACACAAACACACACACCCTTCTTCTCTCCCTCTCTTTCCTCTATAAAATTTTTTCCTCTCTGGCACCTTTCTTTTTCTACTACTTGGACTAAGATAATTTTTCTCTTTACAATTTGCCTTTTTCTGCTATAATTTCTCTCCTTTTCCTAGGCCTAAGGATCTCTTTAGTTAAAAGGAAAGTTCCTTCCTTGTTCTGTGGAATGTATCCAGCTCTCTCTCATACAACCATGTTGTCAGCTTCACTTTTCAGCTACAAAACTGCTGTTAAGTGAATGGGCACACAGCTACCCCTAGTGGAAAGCAGTTTCTTAAATGTCATTTGGAATTAATGCAGCTTTGTACTGAGTGGAGTCTAGAGAGATGTGAGTTCTGTATGAAGGGTCTTAGGCTTTAAATTTTGCCCATGTTTTGATGAAGGGTGATATTTTTTGCTGATGTTATGAAAAAATATCTTCTGTCACTGACAAAGAGGGTTAAATCAGGCCAATTACTGAACTGTGATTTATAAGAGGGCAAAGTTAGAACACTGCCTAGGAATTGGGCAGTGACGCTGTTTAAACCAAATTCTTTGTTGTTGTTGTTGTTGTTTTTTGGGGTTTTTTTTTTTATTTGTTTGTTAACCACTGAGCAACACCAGCCACGACAAGCCAAATGCTTAACTTCTATGGACTTCAGGTTCTTATTTGAAAAACAAAAAGCCAGAATCAGGTGAGCCTCCAAGTTTCCTCTCATGTTCAGAGTTAATGATTCTACCCAGTTTGATATCTTCCAGGGGATTAGTGTTTGTGCATATTACAAATGTCTCTCTCATTGTGAATGGTTACTATGCTTGCCTGCCCTTGGGAATGTTGTGAAGATTAAAGATGATGTTTGTGTGAAAGACCTTTGCAAATTGTAAAGCACTGTCTGACGTGAGCTCCTCCTGTCGAATCTGCTGTAAATTGGCCAGTTGGTTGCTGTGTGCCTTCCTCATCATTAGTATTTTCTTTCTGAAAGCCCCAAAGAAAACTAACTTACTAGCTGGTGCCTAACTCAGATCAGTGATTGTCATTCTACACAGCCCTGCTAAATGCTCCTCTTGCAAGACCCTCCCCTTGCTTTAGGAATTTTCACTTTCAAAATTATTATGAATTAATAATCCCTTACATGTTTCAACCTTGTTCCCAGAGTGGAGAAAACCAATACTAGTCAAGTTACTTCTGATTTACTTCATGTCATTTCATACCTGCACCCCATCTAGAATTTCTTCAGGGAATTAGAGTAAAAAAGAACAGTTATCGCAGAAAGGAGAGTATCAAAGGGATTAGAATCAAGTTTCTACTTTCTGTTTCACTGTTAGGAAAACTATATTGGAGCCATAGAAAGATTTCCATCTTAGAACAGAGGTAGCCTATAAATTAAGTTTAGGACTAAAATAGCATTGAAGATTTGATGAGAAGAGACAGTGAAAATTCCCAGCTACTCTCTTCTTCCCTTTATGCTGAATTCCTTACTTAATTTTTTATTTATCTTTTTATATATTTTCATAAAACATCTTAAATTCTTCTATAGAAAGAAGTTAGTATTGATATTTAGGAGGAAACAAAATAGGGCAGTAAAAAGATCCAATACCTTATTTTTAAGTTGGTTTTTCTCCTTAGCTTCAGAGACTTTGATAGCTAATACTAATATCTCTTCGCTTTTGTTTCTGCTTAAAAATAATCTCAAAATTCCATGAAAGCATTTCCTGAGAACAGATTTTACATGAATCATAAACCAGTGTTTGTGTACATAGTATTATGGAATCATTACCTCAATTGACTGAGTTCCAGGGTTGGTGTAATAAAGGTTTCTTGATATCCAGTCTAAGGCCAGGCTCATAGAAGAGCCCAAACTAGACAGAGGAACAAACACTGTCCTGTTGGTGCCATCTGTCTTCACTCTGTGAATTTCACCCTGGAAAGAAAGCCATGGAGAGGTGAATTGTTTTAAGGCCAAAGCTTCTCCATGAAAACACTTCCTTCACTGCGGCTACTGCCAGCTGCTGTGTTTCTTAAACACTCCTCGGACTTGGGGAAGAGGCCAAGGTTCAGAACCATTGGGTGGCTTCTGTGTCTAATGCTAATGGCAGCAACACTTTGAAAACACTGATTTTTAAGTGTGTCACAGGAATACACAAGGCTTACCATTCAGAACCTCTGATGTTGGCTACAGCAATTTACTTCTTAATTACCACAGGCCAGAGTCATAAAAATAACCCAAGTCTGAGGTGAGAGTCAGGAGGCCAGGAGTATATTTTGCACAGTGGTGACAAGTACCAAACACAGAGATCTTTCCTCTCCTCCTCATTTGTATTCTCTTTGCCTCTTCCCAGTCCTCCCAGGTTTCCTTCCTAAAGGGTGAGGAAAGGGCCCAATGGGAAAGGGACGTGTTCTGTTTATCCTCAAGGCAAAGGTTCTGAATGAAGGCCCCAGCATCACACCAAATGCTTCTCTGGGAATTCCCCTAAGGAACTACTGCTTTTTGTCCTGCATTATGATCATTTTTATGTTAGTCTAACATCTTCTACGAGCTTAAAGCTCCTTAAGAATAATCCTTGTGACTGCTGCTCCTAGGTAGCTGGAACCATGGCTAGTTCAGTGCAGGGCAAATGGTAAACGGTACTTGCTGCATGAATAAAGAATGCCCAGTAGCTTAAGCGTGCTCATTATTCTAAAGCTAAAGAGTTTTTTCTGATCTTTGCTCCAGCCTGACTTCCCATTTACATCCTTCACTGAGTCAAAAAAAAAAATTAAAATGTAGGGGTAAATTAATTTATTTCTGGGTCAGTTCCCTTTTATCAGCCCAGCAGGCATTTGCTAATAAGGTATCAGTGCAGTCTCTTTGAGAACAAGTTATATACTTTGAATGTTACTCAAAACTTACTGGATTCTCAACCCAATAGATGAATTCCTCGGAGTCATCAAATTCAACATCATAACCATTCTGTATCCCCGATACGGGAACCATAGCATCATTGCTCTTCACCTCAGGATGAAGGGAGATTCCAAAAATTACACTGCGTCTTACAGTTATTAAGAAAGGTTCATCATCTGTGAAAATAACAGAGTATCAGTCAAAATTATATCCCACTATCCCCAGATATTTAAAGTAATGAAAGGCAATGGACTGTTACCATCTTACGAAATTAACTACAATTGCAGCATTGCAGCAGTAAATATAATGCACGGTAGATATTTCATCAGACAGTCCAGGGCCTTCCATTGGGTTTCAGTGCGTTGCTGAGTCGCCAGACCTCCAACTCCTCACACAGTGCCCCTGGACTTTCCCAAGGCAGGTTTACTTTACTCTTCATGAGTTCCTTACCCTGATAAGCCACCCACCACAGTGAAGAAGTTCTTTCCTTTCTACCGAGATAAAACCTCACTAATACTGAATAACAGGAAGAGTTGGATTTTGGGTGGGGGGAAAGTGAAAGAAATCATAAACTATTCTCAGTGAATGGCAGTTTATTAGTTTTAAGTATATTCAGAAAATAAAACAACTCTACAAAGCATTGCCTAGTATTTTTTAGAGACTTTAATTATTAAATAAATCCAATTTATAATCTCACCAATTGTTGTTTGACTAATGTCTGTCTTCCACACTAGGTTCTAACTCCCAAAAGGCAGTGACTATTTCTGATTTACTCACTATTTATGATGTCCCCAGGACCTAGCATATAATAGTTGCCTAATAAATATTTGCCAACTAGCTCGGCAGGGGTGGCTAAGCGGTTGAGCATTGACATATGATCCAGGAGATAGATCTTGGTTCAATTCCTGGTCAGGGCACATGCTCAGGTTGGGGGCTCAATTCCCAGTGGGGGGTGTGCAGGAGGCAGTTGATCAATGACTCTCTCATCATTGATGTTTCTAGCTCTCGCTCTCCCTCTCCCTTCCTCCTTAATATAATAAGGCCCTTTTTCAAAGATAGTCTTTATCCTAACCGTAGTCCCATTATCAAAAACAAATCTAAATTAATGAAATTCAAGAGTGGGGTTTTACTTTATAATTCTCTGAGAAAAAGAAAACTTTGGAATGGGAATTTTGTATTAAGACATATATATCCCACAAATTAATGCAAAAATATAAAATGATTAATCATTGTATAATTTTCATGGGCTAAAGATGATGCTTGATTATTTTGATAATCTGAGTAGCTTTACATCTTCAGCAGGACTATTTGACACTTTTGTCTTTAGTTATTTTCACATCTCATTAGCTTTTCCTTGTTCCTGGCATTTTTATTGTTGAGTAATAACTTCACATTTACTAACCTAGTCCAAATTTAAAGTAAATTTTGAAACTATTAATGCTTCCTGATTTGCAAAGTTCTGCAATATATAGCATTTAGTCTTCAAAACAAGCCTGCAGAGTTGTTTTCAATTAAGGACAATGAGACTTGCAAGGGCTATGTGACTTCTGCAGGAAACAACACAGTGAAAGGTTATGTCCTCTCAGAGCTGCTCCACATTGCCCCCTTCTGCCTAACTGCAATAGCCATAATAATCAGCCCCACTTTCTGAGAATGTGCGCCACACATTATACACCAGGCAAATATTATTTCACTTATCTCCCTGAAGCCTCATAACCCTGTTGGTTAACTAGTTACCACAACCCACCACACACCCTCACACACACAACTTTCAAACAATGCACAAAGAAATGAAGCGATTTAACAGAGGTTACACAGCCGGCTCTCTTGGACTCTAAAACTGAAGTTCTTAATCACTACTTTGCAAAAAGTGCAGGCCAGGTGCTACTTATGAATATCAATTACCACTCAATTCATTTGACTTCATAGCAGTAATAAAAAAATAAAAGCTATCAGTTTCAGATGTACTTCAAAATTATACTGAGATATTTATTCATTGATTATATGTTATAATTGCTCATTGGTTCAATAAAAACAAGAATAGTTTCCCAATTTCACTGGGAATATTTTAAATTTTACTTACTCAAAACCTGATACTGCCCTTTTTAATGGGTAATTTTCCTATTGCTTAACCGGAGGAATTCTCATCCAAAGCACTGTTTAGGACCCTATAAACTCTGCATTTCTCATCCATCAAACATAGGCCTTTCTGATTCCTCCGAGGAACTTGTCCCTTAAGCACTACCCAGCTCTACTCCTTCTCTGGTCATTACTCCTTTCTGGGGATGTGTCTCATGCCTTTTATCTGATCACTGGTGCACTGGAGAGCGCTTACCACCAATGAACATTTGTGGGCAATGGACCACAGGGTGGGGTATCATTTAATTCTGCACTGACAGGAAATATGAGAGCCAAGGTGAAGGATGGTGCCAGAGAAGCACTAGACAGGATGTGACCACTGAGACAAGTGGCCTACGAGGGTGTGTGGAAAGTGCTCTGTGGGTCTGGCCAGCATGGCTCAGTGGCTGAGCATTGGCCTATGATACAGGAGATCGAGGTTCAATTCCCATTCAGAGCACATGCCCAGGTTGGGGGCTTGATCCCCAGTGGGGGGTTTGCAGGAGGCAGCCAGTCAATGACTCTCTCATCATTGATGTTTCTCTCTCCCTCTCACTTCTCTCTCTGAAATCAATAAAAATCTATTGAAAGAAAGAAAGAAGGAAGGAAGAAGGAAGAAGGAAGGAAGGAAGGAAGGAAGGAAGGAAGGAAGGAAGGAAGGAAGGAAGGAAGGAAGGAAGGAAGAAAGGAAGAAAGGAAGAAAGGAAGAAAGGAAGAAAGGAAGAAAGGAAGAAAGGAAGAAAGGAAGAAAGGAAGAAAGGAAGAAAGGAAGAAAGGAAGAAAGGAAGAAAGGAAGAAAGGAAGAAAGGAAGAAAGGAAGAAAGGAAGAAAGGAAGAAAGGAAGAAAGGAAGAAAGGAAGAAAGGAAGAAAGGAAGAAAGGAAGAAAGGAAGAAAGGAAGAAAGGAAGAAAGGAAGAAAGGAAGAAAGGAAGAAAGGAAGAAAGGAAGAAAGGAAGAAAGGAAGAAAGGAAGAAAGGAAGAAAGGAAGAAAGGAAGAAAGGAAGAAAGGAAGAAAGGAAGAAAGGAAGAAAGGAAGAAAGGAAGAAAGGAAGAAAGGAAGAAAGGAAGAAAGGAAGAAAGGAAGAAAGGAAGAAAGGAAGAAAGGAAGAAAGGAAGCAAGCTCTGTGAGAAAGAAACAAGGGGGAGTGATTTTATGACACTGTACACCAATAAAGGAGCAAATGGGCAAAAAACACAGGACTGGAGAAGGTGAAAAAAAAATATTTTAGAAAGCTTATCATTTACTCAACACTTACTGAGTACCACTGTATGCCACAAGCAATAAGCGAACCAGGTGGAGGGCAAGACAAAGTACATGGGCCCTTACGATTCCCAGTGATAAAGGCCAGGAAGGAGTAGGCACAGAAGAACCTAGGGTTGAATGAAAGGTTTGGGAGGAGGTGATATTTATGCTTTCCAAGGTCAGTATGTCTCAGTTCTTTTGAAATGAAAGGCTGTTTCTTCACTTTTAGCTTTCATGTCATGATTCCATTAAGAGTTGTGTGAGCAAAGAAGGGAGGTAGAAAGACGACAATCAGAAATGGGAAACTGATGTTGCAAAAGAAAGGTGACATTTCTGACTCCCAAACCTAGGTCCTACTTAACTCAGATCTTGCACCGCAACCTTTCCTAGAGCGGGAGCAAGGAGTGTTTCCTTCTCCTTTTGCACAGAATTACCAAGCAACTGCCTGGTGTCCCTCAGACTGAGTCAAAAACCTATTTTGGATTTGAGGTTATTTTAGGAGGTGCCAGGGAGATGTTCTGATTTGAGTTTTATTTATTTGTTTTTGGAATTTGGGAACATACTTTCAAAAAGGTAAAAAGCTATTTCATACAAAGAAAGTTCTTATTTTAAAATTTTATAACAAAATTAGGGGGAAAAAGAAGCCTCCCATAATCCCCCTACCCCACTGTAACCACTATTGGCACTTGTGTGTGTTGTCTTCCAGACTTGTTTAAGGCATGTTTATACATGGCCCAAACTTAGCATCTGCTTTTCCCTAAACCTTACCACATAAACATTTCCAAAGATATCCCAGACACTAAATAAACACTATTTTAAAGTATATTGAACGTGTAAGTCAAGTAAAATGTTTTCATCTACAAATGTTAACAAGTCTTCTAAGCTTCTTGTTGGAAAAAAAATGTGTAACTTTTAACACACATTGACACTCAGTTACCCAAGTGGTACTGAGAAGCCAGTTGGGAAACAGTGAAAAGGTTCCACCTCAGTAAGGTCAAAACCACTAGTGGAATTATTTGTGAAACAACAAAAGGTACTATTTAGAATTAACATTTATCAATCACCATCAGACAGTAATACTGATTACACCAATCCCCAACGCCCAATTCAACAATCTTTGTGTGGTGAAAGAATGCTTTATATCCAAAATATCTAGAGCCCAGTTCAATCTTCTGCTGAAAGACGTTGAGGACACACTAAATTAAACAATGTCAACAAAGATTAGGTTCCTAATAAGTCTCTGAAGAAAAATGGCAAATGCTAATCCCTTTATAAGCATTACCAATAATTAAAATCTTTCACCAGGAAAGCATCATTGTAAAATATTACATGCTGATGGAATAAGCCTACATCTGCATAATCTGTAAAACACCACACCTGGATTCCATTTGAAAACTAAATTTCTCTCTAGATTAGGATTCTATTTTCTCTCCCTTTAGGAATTTTTTTTTAATCATTAAACATTTCATTTGAACTTATCTACAGCCATTTTTATGAGTATCAAAACACATTCACTCCTCTTCATGGAGAAATGAAAGAAACTTGAGTTTAGAATAACTCTCTAGATTTTTAAGCAAAGGCAAATGATTTTTTTTAACAGAGTTTATCATGGATCAAGTACATACTCCAGAAGAAATCTCTTTTGTAGACTGACTACATCTTTTCCTTCCTTTCTTACTCCCTAAAGTACTTGTATAACCCTCCACATACTCTTCAATCAACCCAGTAAATTATCTAGGATGAGATAAAGATTAAATTGCTCAAATAATCATTTTAAATATTTCATAGAGCAGAAACTTATATTTTTAAAGTATCAGATAATAACAGTCAAGGTACTGAAACTGCAGTAGGAAGACCTAGGCTACAACACTCATCGTTGACTATTGGTTATGAGACTAAAAATGAGATAAGGATCCTGAAAAATGAAGCCATACAATAATGTCAAGACAAGCACCATATGATTTCACTCATATGTGGAATCTAATGTACAAAATGATCTAACAAGCAAAACAGAAACAGATTCATAGATAGAGAGCAGGCTGGCTGCTGTCAGGTGTAGGGTCTGGGGGGCTGCCGGGGGGGG